ATGCCGTTCAACTATCAAAAACTTACCCAGGGACTGACTGTGGAAGTGATCATGTACCTGTAGTACAAGATAAGGTTGAGGAAACCTAAGAAAACAAAAGTGACAAAGAAGCTTGATTATTCAATTCTAATGGAAAAAGATCTGATTAAAGAACGGTACATAGTTGCAGTCAAAAACCGTTTTCAAGAATTTGAAGGTGAATGAAATAGGTCACACTGGGACATTTTCCAAGAAGCACTAATTGAAACAGCCAAGGAGGTTATTCAATCAAAGTAACAGAAATGGATGACTGAAGAAATCCTTGAACTTAAGCAAGAAAAAAGGAAGATGAAAACCTGTAGTTTGGCAGAGTATAAGAAACTGGATAAAAGAATTTAATCAACATGCAATAGAGAAAAGGAGAAATGGCTTAATGAAAAATGTACAGAGATAGAAAAACAAAAGGATAAAGATGGTATGTTGATGTATAGGAATATCAAAGACATCACAGGCAAAGAAGGATGCACTGCTGGGAGATCTATAAAAGCCAAGAATGATGATGTAATCATGGAACAAGAACAATTATTGAAAAGATGGACAAAGTATATTGAAGATTTGTTCCATGACAATCGAGAAGAAGTGCCATCTATTAAGAAGAACATGAAAAGTTTGAAAATTCTTAAGTCAGAAGTACAAACTGTTATCAGCTGAATGAAAAACGATAAAGCTACAGGACCAGAGGAGATTACAGTAGAACAAATAAAATGTTTGGAAGAGTTTGGTATAGAAAAGTTAACAAATGTTAGCAATGAGATTTACAAAAGTGGAGAAATACCTGAGGATCTCAGTAAATCAATCTTTATTGTGCTCCCCAGAAGACCTGGAGCCATTGAATGTGAACTCCATCAAGCCATCAGTTTAATGAGCGATATGACAAAGATCCTATTACAGGTGCTGATGATGAGAGCTAGAAGTAGAATAGACTGGAGATTGCAAAAGTTCAATGTAGTTTTGTTGAAGATCGAGGTACAAGAAATGCTATCTTTATGGTATGAATGCTTTTGGAGAGGGCAATAGAAATGAAGAAAGACATTTTCTTATTCTTTATTGAGTATACCAAAGCTTCTGATAGAGTCAAGCATGAGGAGTTAATGAAAATGCTAGAAGAAGTGGATATTGATGATAAAGATTTGAGCATTTTAAGAAAACTTTATTGGGAGCAAACTGCAGCAGTGAAGATAGAAAATGAACTAAGTGATTTTGTCCAAATTTAGAGAGGCGTGAGGCAAGGCTGTGTCTTTTCACCTGACTTGTTCAACTTGTATAGTGAGTAAATACTGATGAAGATTGAGGATTTATCAGGGCTGATCACTGGTGGACAGAATTTGAACAACTTGTGTTATGCTAATGACACAGTCTTAATAGCTGATTCAGAAAAGAAGCTTCAAGAAATTTTAGATAAAATTGTTAGTGAAAGCAAGAAGAAGGGGCTAAGTATCAACTGCAGAAAAACAGAATGTACAGTAATAACAAAGAAGAAGATTGTCCCTGTGTGTAATATTAAATTAGATAAGGAACAGATAAGACAAGTCAATAAATTTAACTACTTGGAAAGCTGGATAACATCAGATGGTAAATGGGATCATGACATAAAATAGTGAATAGGGATTGAAAAAGATGCATTTCTGAAAATGAAAAAGATATTGACATTTCTATGGGGACAAAGCTAAGAGTTCAGGATTGCTATGTTATACCAGTCCTCATGTATGCGTCAGAATGCTGGACAGTATTGTCAAGTATGGAAAAGAGAATTGAAGCAACTCAGATGTGGTTCTTAAGGTGCATCTTGAAGGTATGTTGGACAGACGGAGCCCCTGGTTCCGGGCTCCACGCAGACGGAGCCCCTGGCTCTCGGGTGCGGGGGCTGCCTCCCCTGGCTCTCGGCTGCGGGGGCTGCCTGTCCCTTTTTCAGGCTCTGGGGCCTGGGAGCATGGTGACCTCGCCTTGTGGGGTCTGCTCCCTTTTGGGGTCTCTGGCGCGCCAGCTGGAGGAGCTCCAGGCCACAGTCCAGAGACTGCGTGCCATCAGGGACTGCGAGCAGGAGATAGACTCCTACTGCCAGGCCCTTCTCCCCCGGGAGGCAGAGGGTAGACCACAGTCCCCCTCCACGCCAAAGGAGAACTTTGGGACCTCCTGCTGTGCCCAGCCAGGTGCATGGACCAAGGTGGTCAAGGGCCCTAAGGCCCGCCGCACCAAGGCCCCTACTCCACCAGAACTGAGCAACAGGTACGCACCTCTTGCTGCCCCAGCAGAGCCTGCTGAGTTGCCGGCCCCCACAGGCAACATGG